AATGCTTGTGATTACCTGCTCCCCATCAGGGCTGAGGAAATGTTCAGAGTCTGCCCCTGGGAAATGCAGCATCTTGGAGGAACGAGAAGGGCAAAGCCTGTTTTCTCATGACTCACGTAACAGACCTTCTTATTTTGTTCCTTCTGTTTTTCAGAGATCTGTCATACAACCTGTTGGAAGATTTACCCAGTTTTTCACTCTGTCAAAAGCTTCAGAAAATGTATGTCTAAGAATCTATAAATCACCTATCCAGAATCCAGAACCCAAACTCCCATTTCTCAGGGTCACTGGTTCATGTATCCTGAGGTGACATCTGATGCTTTTCCTTCTCACACACCCAAGAAGTGACCACGCAAGGTGGCTACATAACTGAGAAACACAAATAATATTATTTTTTCAAGCATTGTACTATAAAAGCAGGAAAACATTTGTTATATATTTGCTCCCCCGCCCCAAATCAGTGTACTAGTGAACTAGGTTTGTTTGAGCTTTAAGATTATTCTTCTTTTGCAAGAACAACCAAACTTGCACATCCAATGAATGGTTTTATTTTTTAATATAGGGGGACTTAAGTTTGTTGGTGTGTTTGTTTCACAAATAGTCTCTTTACAGGAAGTACTAGATTGGTCATGTTTGAAGTCTCATGGATGCTACTTGTGTATGAAATATTTAGAATTCCTCTTAAAATTGCCTCCCCCACAAACATTGGCCTTGTTGCTTTATAACAGTGATTTTCAACTGATGTGCTATGAGAGGATCTTAGGTATGCCATGAACGTTTTTAAAGATCATTAATCAAATTATTTTTTAAAGTTCAAAGCACAGTATGTATATTCGTTTTTTTACCCCCCTTTTTAAAAACTAACGTAATTTAAGTGTGCCAGGGAAGTCCAGATTCAAGTGTACCAGGAGATACAAAAGGCTGAGAAACACTGCTCTATAGTCACACTTCAGTTCTGACTGAAACAGTAGTAACTATCTCTGCTTTTACACTTAGTTTTTCTCTGAACACCTCCCGTGATTAAGGGAGAAAAACAAATAAGTCCACCTTTAAAAGGTAAAGACTTGATCCTACCAAAAGACCCTCCAAGGGTGCAAAAAATATCTAGAAGGGGGCACCTGGAGAAGAGGCCAGACCAGGAGAGGAGTCCTCATCAGGAGAGGAGGCCTCACCCAGAGAG